TCACCATTGGGTGTCTCCTTATGGTATGACAGATCTGAAATCCACAATGAGATAAAGCTTGAACCTGCCATGGTTCAGATTGAGAAGTAATTTTAATATAAGAGGAGATAGTTCATGCAACCAGCCAATCAGAATTTTAATCAAGTGTTGTAAACAAGTGAACACTCCCTCCATCTTCTGCCTACATCTCTCCTTCCACACCTCGCTCCCATGAAATCAAACAAGCTAGCAGTCTCACGAAGTAAGCCCACTGACTGTTCACCTCAAACATGGCCAAGCAAATAGCCCTTAACTTTGCATCATGACTTATTCATGAGTAGAATTACATAATTCTAGACTCCCATAAGTTTGAAATAAGAGACTAGGGGCTATCAACATGACACACACAAGACCCGCCGGTTCAGCATGTGAATAAAAGGCCCATCGCATAGAAGAGGAACAGAAAATTGCTTTGTTGAGTGAAACAACAATAGATCCTTTTGGGCCAATCTGCTCTAAGACACATTGGGCAGAAGGATTACAAAAAAGGATTTGGAGGAGTTCCTTGATTTATAAACCAAATTGTTTTGAGCTTTCCAAATGAATCATGCATGTGGTACTGCAAGCCAGGGCTACAATAGTGAAGTCCTTATCCTAACGAGCATGAGTTGAAGGATATGATAGCTAATTAAGCTACCTGAGCAGAGTCTCATCTCAAAAGCATGTGATCAATGCTTTATTCATCCACTTCACATATTGGGTAGATTGAGGAGTCTATGATCTATTTGTTGGCCAGTGATGCTATCCGAATTCAAGTAGATAAGCAGCGAATAAGTTGTCCTTGTGAGTTGGACAAGCTGAGCCGATCCAACTACCTACGACCAAAAAAGGTCAGAGGCCCCAAGGCAATTTTCGAGAAGGAGCACTTCAACTCTCAAGCCAGTAAGTGGTGAAGTGGTTGGGTAGGCTGAGCTGTGTAGAGAATTATTCTTATTACTTTAAAAAAAATGTGTGGAAGAACCGAAGAAGTTGTACCTAAGGCGTTCTCTGTATTTAAATACTTGTTAGCATTATTTTAAAAGCCTCTTGAGGCAAGGCTATGAAAAAAAGGCTAGCCTTAGACCCCATCAGCAAGGCTTAGGCCTTCAGTTATTTGAGGCTTTCGCCTTTGCGCCTTTGGGCCTTTGGCTTCAAAATGTTCAAGGCTTAGGCCTTAACTATTTAATTTGCTAATATGGAATATGAATGTTTACATAAGGGCAAACATAAATTTAAGACAAAAAAAAGCCTTCTTCTGTATGTATTAGTGTAATGAGAAAATAAATAAACATTACAAATAACACAAAAATGCATATAAAATGTGTAAGAAAATAGATTGCTTTGTTTTTCATGCTTTAATCTTATCCATTTGCCCATTTATTATTATTATTTTTTGATAACTCCCATTTTTTCATTTATCTCATATTTTGTATTCTATTTCTTCTAAAGCACATGCATCATATAAATGGTCACTCTTCACTAATGCATATTAGTGCAAGAAACGAAATAGGAATGCCTTGTTCTTAAAATAGTGTTGTATTGTATATTTGGGGTACCAATATCCCTTTCTAAGGTATTTTTTTAAATCTTTTTAAAAATTAGATAATATAAAACTAACCTTGTGAAATTAAAAAAAAAAAAACTGAAAAAAAATATGCATGGTTCAAAGTGTCGATAATCAATACATCCCTTTCAGCATATTGGGTGGATGGATACTTTGAACCATGAATCCATGTCTAATATATCATATAAGCCATAAGATCCTAATTTCATGTTTTCATGTCTTTATTGTTTATGAACTATATTCTTTTTCTTTTTCTTTTTTTTTTTTTTCTCAAGGCTTATGCCTCAAAATGCCTTAAGGCTTATGCCTCACCCCTATGAAACATAGCTGCTTCACCTCTGCCTTTAGCCTTTTAATACCTTGCTTGTTAGGGAGTGTCTTGCTCCTCACTACTAAGGATGCATGTTAGCATATGGGTTATTCCGCAATCGAGCCATTAGACGTGTGAGCCACACATCACAAGACACGGAGTTTGGAGGCCACTCGTGCAGATCTGCTTGACATTCGAGGTGGGATCTGCTCCTCACACAAGGCGCCTTACAACTACATCACAGGCACATCCCATCATGCATTGAGAAAATCTCTTATAAATAATAACACATAAGTACGAGAAATGTTCTCAATGCACAATGAGATGTGCCTGCGAGGTCAATGTGAGGTGCCATGTGTGAGGAGAAGATCTGGTCTCTTGAAATTCACCACACATCGATCCCTTTATCTGAGGTTTGTAGTGCTCACCGAGTCTAGTTGGCTGATCAAATGGGAGTCTGCCATGCCGGTGGAACCTAGTTCTCTAGGTGTGGGACAGCTGTCAGTCCTCAGCTTGGTCATGTGCAACCCTCCCATACGTCCATGTGGCAGTCATCTAGGGCCCAATTCTCATCCTCATCACCCTAAGACTTCTTCACTACTATAGCTCCAACTCAAATATACCAGATAGAATTTCCAAGGGCTTTGATCTTCCAAATTTTCTTCTACATGGGGCTCCCTAGTCGTCCCAATGGCGTAGGAGGATGGCAAGTTGCTGGATGTATGGTTGCATGCATCCTATCTGGCTTCTCTCCTCCTTGTAACGCCAAATAAGAAAAAGAATAAAAACATAACTTTGCATGCATCCTATCTAGCTTCTCTCCTCAAAACATATAGCTTTAGGAAATCAATATGAGACATGGTATGTGTAAGCACCATTGAAGCCAGAGCCTTTTATCAACATTTCTGTACTTGCTTGACTAAACATGAAGTATTGGAGTTCGGATTTGCTCCTCATAGAGTGCGTCACACACCAATCTCACAAGCATTTGGAACTACACATTTGGAATATCTCTGTATGAGTAGGGAGGTAAGGCTACGTGCCGGGGTCTCCTTGAAGGACAAAGAAAATCCGGGAATAGGAGGTAGGTTAAAGGTTAGGGCGAATGAGGTGATTAAATGATTATCTCGTTATGAGTTGGATCTCTATTTCTAGGGAGAGATTCCGAGATCCTGAAAGGAATGAGACAAAAGGATTTGATTCTCGTTAGGAACGAGAATATTGGATTCGATGTCAGTTGTTAGGGAACACTACTAAGGTTTCGCTACGTATCTTATGAGAGATCTCAAAGATGAGATTTCCTTTCGTTTGAAGATTCTCATAATGCATGTATGCTACTTCCTTTCGTGTCCCTCTTAAATCGATGTGGCAGGGATGACGCCACTACTTATCTCGCTTGTCCTCTTTAAGCCTATGAGGCATCCCGTCACATGTGTTGTTAGTGACGCATGCATTTCTTTTACTTATTTATGGTCTGCGATGAACTTGCACTTGTTGTGGTTGTGCGATCAACTTAAGCTCATCGCAGGTCTGCACGGGTCTTGAGCTCATTGCAACTAATTTTGGGTCATAAGCTCATTGCATGTCTATGTAGGTTTTGAGTGTGTAGGTGACCATCTTGTATCTACACTTTGTATATATGGTTCCAAGTGATTGTGAGGTTGGTATGAGGCACGCTCTGTGAAGAGCAAATCCAAACTTTAAGTATTGGCAACTCAAGGTTCATTTTTATTCTTGATAATGGAGTTGGGAAGTCTAGAAATCGGGATTTTCTCCTTAGACGACACCTCACACCAACTTTATAGCCCCATCCCACCATGTATTGGGAACATCTCCCCATGAATAACAATAGAAAGTATGAGAGATGTTCTTGATGTGCGACTAAGACATGTTGTGAGGTTGATGTGAGGAGCAAATCTGACTCAAATTCTAGACATTATTAGTCAAATTTTGTAGAAAATTTTGGATGCCCATATTTCATAGTTTAGGCTGTGAATAGGGCTCTTCAAGCGTGACACATATGTTCATCCAACTATACATACAACACTTATGCTAAATGGAGCTTGTGTCCATTAATCGAGTACGAATCTCCTCCCTATGTTTAGAACATCTTCCGTACTTTGTGTGTTGTGAGTTTGGATCTATTTTTCATAGAGTGCCTCACACGGACCTTACAGCCCCATCCCACTATAAAATTGGGAGCATCTTTTGTCCTTTGTTTTGTTATTCATGGGAGATGTTACTAATACATGACAAAATAGGCCTATGAGGTGCATCCTGTGATTAATTTGTGATGTTCGAATTTTCATTCACAAAGCGAAAGATTCTAATGTGCCACGTGGCTTTTATTTTTGGGCACTTCAATCTAGGGTTGCAAACAATATCTAATTATTTGATTCCGAATTTGAATTTGGTCCTATTAAGTATGATCCGAATTCAATTTATTTATAATTGGATCAAATATGGATCTACCCCTATCCGATCTGATATATATATATATATATATACTTAAAAAGTATATTATTTCTATAATTGAAGTTGATCTTAATGTTGAATTTTCACTAAATTGTCATATGTTATACAAATAATTTTGAATGTTAACAAATCGAATTCGGATATAGGCAATATCGAATTCGATCCGATCCGTTCACAGCCCTACTTCAGTCCACTAGTGATTCTACCCGCGAGGACGCTCCCGGTTTCCTTTTTAAAACCTTGTACCAGAAGCGACCATGTAGCTGAAGAATGTATCATCCCATCACATGGATGCCAGCTGTGTCTGTGTGGAAATGATAATTTTGGCTTTGGGTCAAAAATAACTGAAGGCGCGGCGGATTGGCTTTGCGCCTTTGCCCTAATGAAGGCCTTATCTTTTGTCTGAAACAATTCTGACTTCGGATTATCTGCCCGTGAGAATTCTGCCTACGCCTACCCACGACATACTACTCCGTGAATTGGGAATATCTCCCCTACAAGAGGATGAAATGATCTCTATACGTGAATAGACGTGGCAGAGTTTGTGTGTACAAGAGATCCGGACTCAACAATTCTCCCCTGCTTCGACCCAGCCACGACACGCGCGGTTTATTAAGCGAACCAATCCCTTTATTTTCTATTACAAAATAGACCCGGTTAGGTCTGCTTCTAGTCTGGTCTCCCATCCCCTCAATTTGAATTGAAACAGGGATCTAGAATCCCGCTCGCCCACTCGCCCCTCTCATTTTAAACAGCAGGAACCCTATCTTTCTTATTCTTCCCTTCTCCAATCATCCGTTTCTTTCTCCAATCACTTCCCAGAAAAAAGGCGAGAGAGCAGAGAGAAGAAGATACTTGTACAGGTAAAATAATGGCGACCAATATCGGGATGATGGACTCTGCATACTTCGTTGGTAGATCAGAGATCCTTGCCTGGATTAACTCCACCCTCCAACTCAATCTTTCAAAAGTTGAAGAGGTTTGACTTCTACTTAAGGCCCTCTGGTTTTAAACCCTAACTATTCAAAAACCATGTAGAATTTTAAATATGTGATATATATTAGTTATTTGTTTTTATTTTAACTGAAATTGCATGTAAAAAAATTCAAACATTTTCCGTTTCGATGAAACTGTTTCTGATCCACTGGGATTTATCCACACAGGCTGCCTCTGGTGCGATTCAGTGTCAACTAATGGACGCCGTCCATCCAGGGATTGTGCCGATGCACAAGGTCAACTTCGACGCCAAGACCGAGTACGAGATGATCCAGAATTACAAGGTCCTTCAGGATGTTTTCAATAAACTTAAGATTACAAAGGTACATCTCTCTTTCTCTCGTATTCTAATTACTCTTGAGTCTTATCTGATATTTTACTCTTTTATTGGAAGTTTTATCTCTTCTTTTATGGTTTGTTCGACGTTCTAGTCTCCTTCCTGATTTATATTTTTATGTTCCTGGGTACTAGCACATTGAGGTTAACAAGCTTGTGAAAGGAAGGCCTCTTGATAATCTGGAGTTCATGCAGTGGATGAAGAGATACTGTGATTCTGTCAATGGTGGACTCTTGAACAAGTAACCCTTCTTTATTGTTTCCATTCAATTTCTGGTTTGAAAATTCACTATTTTCATTTAATTTATATAATCATTTCCAGCAACCTATTTTTATTATTTCCTAGTTGCTAAGTTGGAATTACCAAAAAGAATTGAATTGCAAATTATAATAGTGCTTAAACATTTTACTTCACTAGTGCGATATAGATTACTTCAATTATTATATGTGTTCACTGCATTTTTATAATATTAGTTCTCTGTTGTGAACTGTGATTGAAAAGTTGCTATTTATAGATATAAGTTGTCCTAAATCAACTGGAAAGATAATTGCAACCTTGAGAAATGGTAAACGGCAACAGCTTTATGTTTCTGGTATCCTAGTTTCGCTTTTAATGATAAAGTATCTTTCTTCATTTTATTTACTGTGCTTTTTGCATTTCAGAAGACTGGAAGTTTAGAAAGAAATTCTTGGTTGCTTTGTTTTTGTACCTTTGGATTTCCTTGTACCAACCATTTTTGGTTTCTCTAACTAGGATAAAACATTCTAGCCTTCTGTATGTTTGATTAGTGATTTTATATTTCAGTTACAACGCTTTAGAAAGAAGGGAAGCTTGTAAAGGAGGAAAAGATGCAAGCAAGAGAACTGCACCCATGCAAGCTTCTACCAAGACATCAACTGCTGCTCCCAAAACTCAGTCCTCTCACAACACAAGAAGGAATGACCAATCTTCTGTCCACTCAACAAATCAACCAGTCAAGACCGGTAGACCTGTTTCTAGTGGGGGGCCAGATTATGATAAACAGGTGAAATGCTTTTGATGCAGAAGAGATGGAATGTTAATCTAAGATTGAACCTGATGATCTTACGTTAAATGTCATGCAGATCACTGAGCTGAAGCTGTCAGTAGATAGTCTGGAGAAGGAAAGAGACTTCTACTTTGAAAAGTTGAGGGATATTGAGATGTTGTGTCAGTGTCCTGAGATTGAGCACTTACCTGTAATGTCTTATGATCCTTGTTCATGTGGAGTCCTTTTGAAATGGATTTCTAGTTTTCTACTAATACTAATAATAGTATTTTCTTGTTGAGTAATACCAGTGATGGTATTTTTAAGCTTGTCATTAATTAATATATATTATTCTATTGCAGATTGTTGGTGCAATACAGAGGATACTATATGCCACTGTTGACAGTGCCTCAGTGGTGGCAGAAGCTCAAGCCATGATAGCCCAGCAGCAGAAACGACCAGAGCCCTTGAGTCCCATTCATGAGGGAGCAGAGGACATGCCCAAGATTGAAAGTCAGAAGAGAAAAAACATATTGACTCTTGAGGTTGATGCAGTTGCCAATTCAACATTGTCTCCAAGGCAAAGGATATCTGATGCCTCTGATGTTCATTGTAGTGGTTCTCCACTTGTGAGTTGCTGATAGTTCTTGCTGTCTGGAGGATTTTGATTCTTTCAGGTTAACAAGCTGGCTACCCCAATGCTAACTGTTGTAACTGTGCTGCAAAAGTTCATATTGTGCAGGATTGTTGTCCTGAGATGTCATTTTTTTCTGTTATTTCCTTATTTTGATAATAAACTCATCTCCTCTTTCTTTTTTCCTTTTTTTTCTGTTTTCAGGAGTACCTAACTACCAATTAGATGTTACTTTGTTGGAGGCTCAGTGATAAATTGTTGATAGAATATTTTGGGATGACCCGATCGGTTGCCTAGTCATATACAATTGAAAAGGATTGCTGTTGCAGCAATTTATTACTTTTAGTTGACAGCCTTGGAAGAAATGGGTTTCTTTGAACATCAACTTGTTGATCATAGGAATTGCCCCATCTGCAAACAGTTGAAATTCCTTATTAGTAACTTGATCGGTTTTCTTTATATCTCAAGTCTTGAATCTTTCATTTTTCACCACTATTAAATGCACTTTTATTCTCCTGTTGGAAGTTGGAACATGTTCGATATGATGCTTTTTTTTTCCATAATGATTTTTCTTTGGTAGCATAATGAACTTTTCATTGTTACAGTAGTCAGCAAATAGCCTGGTTCTTATGCTTCCACAGGTGAAGTATGGAATAGAAGAAACTTCTATTCTTTTCTTTTTCAATTTATGGACAGATTTGAAGTCTTAATTTTTTGGAGTCAAAATTGGTTGGTTAATTTGTAATGGTGCTGAGTCTTTGTCAAGGGGCTATTGTTTGTGATGATAAAAGTTCAGTTATCCGTTGGACGCCCTAGCAACTCAATATGAAGGTGAAATTGAATAATGAGGTCCAAATATATAATGTTACTAAATACTTCATTATAAACATCTGCATTTAGAAAAACAAATTGAAGCATTACCATAACAACAAACCCTTGGGTTTGCAGTTCTGAAGTGTTGCATTTAATATGCAACTTGTAATCACCGATCCTAATTGCTACTTAGGTGGTGTTGGTAGCACTGAGCTGATCTCTGAGAAATCGTTGCTGTTCAGAGACTATTTTGTGTATCTTTTTCAGGACATGATGTGGTCTTTCTTTTGTCGATTGTTCAAAACAATAGGATTGAATCAAGAACTACTATCGGGTCTTGTTTTACAAGATCAAGTGCAGGGAATTTTCTTCGGTGTCTTGGTTCATTGCATTGGTTTTCTGCATTGAGTTTCAAAAGTAGATTTGGTATAGGATTCAGGAAAACCTAATTTTATGAAATATTTATTTTACCTGACTCCATCCAAATGGATGTTGTAGATTTTTTGATCGGTGGGTTTTGAAGTAATTCAAAGAGGCGGAAATTGCTATGAATTAATGGTTGTGGTGACCGTACTTTGACATTGCATCCGTCGGAAGTCCTAATATCAGTTGTTGACATTTTCATACAAGTGGAAGTCCTAGTATCATGCCTAAAAGCGGATTACCAATCAACTCGTATTTTATTCAAATTCAAGTGGATTTTCTAATTGGTTGAAGTTTTACTTATAAATATCGCAATGTTTTGATGTGTATTGACTAATGCGTATTGGATTAATGGTACAACAAATATTAAGAGTTTGAAGAAAACCCTGTTTTTAATCATTAGTAACCTTTCCCAAGTATTCTTAGTTTCAAATCTTGAAACCTGAAACCAAGTATAATTATGAATTGCTCTTAGACCTGGCAATTGGGTTGGGTTAAGATACTTCGGGTTGAAATTTGGGTTGGGTTTTTAAAACCCGAACTTTAAATGTTTGGGTCAGGGTTGGCTCATGGGTCAATTCAAGTTATTTGAAAAAAATAAATGAAATTTTAAGAAAAAATACATGAAAATGCCAAAATTGAAAGAATTAATCTTCAAATTCCAAAAATATAATGAAAAACTTGAATATTTAACAATTCAAAGAATAAACAATAAAGAGTAAAGACTAAATAGTAAAAATTAAAGAGTGTAAACTTCTAACAATGCATAAATAATCTCAATTAGACTTGACAATTTGGGTTAGCAAGTTGACCCATTACCCAATCTAGTTTTTTCCAAGTTGAATTGGGTTGTATCATTCTCAAATTTGGATAGCTAAATATGAAACCCTAACCCTGTTTTTTGGATTAAGTTGGATCGGGTTTGCTGGTTGGATCAGCTTTTTGCTAGGTCTAATTTCTCCTTTGAAATGTTAAACATGCAATTATAGTGTATATCAATAATATTATGCTCAAACCAATGCTTAGGCTCCGTTTGGTTTGTGGGATGGGGATGAGAAAAAGGGAATATTTCAAAAATATTCCTTTTTTTCTCATTTGTTTTGAGGGAAAGAGAGGGATGGGATGAGAAAAATGTGGGATGTCAAATCCGAAAGTTGTGGATTTGGGGTTACACCAAAATTGTGTTACCCCAGTGGAAAAATTTAAGAAAGACGAGGGAGTGAGGAATGGCTTGTGTGGAGAATACAGAAGCAGGAGCAGGAGTTGGTTCAGTGATAGAGATGTTTGAACCTAGAAGGGGTCACACCAAAACCTTTGGCAATATGCTACCTCCCCTTCCTCGTTTGAACCTAGAAGTAGGAGCTGGTTCAGTGATAGAGATGTTTGAACCTAGAAGCAGGAGTTGGAGGGGTTGCACCAAAACCATCGATGATCTGCTACCTCCCCTTCCCTGTTCGAACCCAAAAGTAGGAGCTGGTTCGGTGACAGAGACGTTCAAACCGAGAAGTAGGAGCTGGAGGGGTCGCACAAAAACCATCGACAATTTTCTACCTCCCCTTACCCGTTTGAACCCAAAAGCAGGAGCTAGTTCGGTGAGATTTCACCAATGGCTCTGGTACTCTGATGTACTTCTTCCCTTGCCGCCGACAGAGATGTTCAACAAAGGACTAACGAATGGAGAAGAGGATGGAGGGAGAAGGAGAGGAATATGCGAGTAACATTTAGAAATGGAGAGAGATGGGGGTTCGGTCTGCTGCTACCTGTTAGTCCGAAGGTAGGAGATGATGAATAGTCACTCCCCTTCCTCCTTTTTCTTCTTCTTCCAAATAGGAAAAACAGGTTTCTCTTTAATTTGAATGGTTTTCTGTTACCGGTTAGTTCGAACTACTGTCTTTGGCGACACAGTCCAAAGGTAGGAGATGATGAACAATGCTTTTCCCATATATAAAACCAAACAATGGAAGTATAAATTTTTACACTTTCCCATCCCATCCCATTCCACCCAAATCTTCCCACAAACCAAATGAAACCTTAAATCTTCAACACAGTTGATGATTCCGGTTGCTAAGCCTGAGATGGTCACTAGGCAATCTGCATCCCTCCTAAAATGGAGGCCCGAGGATTTAACCCTCTCCTGTCCTGTGTTATATGCATGGTTGACGTGACTCGTGAGAACAAAAAACCAAAGATTTGCAGGTTAAATGGGCAATGTCTTTTGGACCAGCCTTGAATGCACTACCCCTTCCTCAAAGACCAAATCTGCTGGTGCTGGTTGGTGTCCTAATGGTTTAGGAAATGAAGGCTCAGTTTGGAAAGAGTACAAATGCAAATATGTCCAGTGCAACTACATATTTGCATTTGTACCTCTTCCAAACTGAGCTGAAATAAATTGCTGGCGCTGGTCCGGGGACCATGCTTCAAAGGAATTAGTAGAAAGTGAAATAAATTCCTTAAACCTCTTATGAATTTTTTGACCTTCCTTTTAAGTTTGTTTTTACAACCAATTATCCTGAACTTCTTTGACAAAAGTAGATCTCCAGAGTCCTCTAAAAAAAATTTCATGAAAAAGTCCAAAATACCCACTTATTTATTATTAAGGCTTCTTTCAGAAAAAAAGAGTAAAACATAACAAACTTTATGAATAAAAAAGGAGTTTAAGGGAATGCTTGACACTGAAGCATTTCATAACCGTTCCTTTTCACAAGTGGACCCTATTTCACAAGCGTTTTGTTTCATATGATTTTCTAAAAACACAAAAAAATGGGATGTAGGATGACGAGGCGTTTGAAGTGATTTGGGTTATTATTATAATTTATTTATAATGGCAACTATGTGACATTGCAAAAAAAAAAAGTCAATTTTTTCAAATTTCAATGTGTGAGATCCCCTTAGCGATTAAAGACCACCAAGGCGATTTAAGAAACTTCAATTTGATGTTTCAAGAAACCTCTCCTTTCCCGAATCCCCAATCTAATCATTGCAAAAACGTTTTTTTAGAAGCAGATGATCAAAAAGCTGTTATTTTGCTAATTCCGTTTTTTTCTTGCTATGGCACTAAATCCAATGCTTGTGGAATGCATTGGTCCCAAACACTTTCTAAAACTAAAGTTGTGGTTTAACCTTTGAACAATTGATATGAAGAGCAAATTTGGAAAATGAATTAATTTGAAAAGTAGATTAAAAGGGTTTGAAGTAGCTATTAACTTGAAGAAAAAAATGGAAAATGAAACATTTTGGTCAGACATAAACTGTATGGGTATTTTGGACATTATCGTGACTCTGCTAAGATTCTATCAGAGGAATTTACTTGCAACTGTGTTAGAAAATTCAGAAGATGTAATTACAATTATTAAACCAATTTATCCAATAAAAAAAGAGAAAATTGTAGATTATTACCTTGTATTTTGGGCCTAGTCTCTTTGGCCTCCAAACTTCAAAATGTGCCAATCAAATACATAAACTCCTAAAAGGTGGTAATTTATTATAAACCATTAAGTGGCATGTGAAAGGATACAAATGCCCTTTAGGTGTCATTTAATTTTGTTTATCAACCATCTAAATGCACAAATCTCTTAGAAACTAGTAAAGAAAAGCAATTAGTCAAAAACTCATATATTACTTTGGTTCAATCTTGATTCTTGATAAAGAAAATAATGAACAGTGTTGAAGGATAATTTTGATATTTCAAAAAACTTTAAATTGTACATGTCACAATATGATAGAGATATCTGACGGAGTGCTAAAGACATTAAGGCAGGGATTAAACTTGTACGTTTTGAAGTTGAGGGATCAAAGTGAGACTAGCCTCAAAATAAATAGTACTGGTCTTACATTTTCCCAAAATAGAGAGGCACATTTTCGATCTAGCCTTTTGTCTTCAACCCCTCGGTTTCCAACTCGTTCACTCCCTCCCGTTACTTCTTTGAGAATTCATCGAACCAGACTAAACACAGTTTGGGGGAGAAGATGGGAAGCAGTAGCTCGAAGCAGAATGTAGTCTCCGGTGGCAACAAACAAATTTTTATCTTATCCGGTCAGAGCAATATGGCCGGACGAGGAGGCGTAACCCAAGGAAAGAAATGGGACGGGATTGTTCCACCTGAGTGCCGCCCTGATCCTTGTATCCTCCGATTCAACGCCAAGCTGCATTGGGAGGAGGCCCATGAGCCCCTTCACTCCGATATCGACGCCAAGAAGACGTGCGGGGTCGGACCTGGGATGTCCTTCGCCAATGGGATCCGGGCGCGTAATTCGAGGGTAGGAGTGGTGGGTCTGGTACCGTGTGCGGTGGGAGGAACGGCGATAAAGGAGTGGGAGAGAGGGAAGCACCTCTACGATAACATGGTGAGAAGGGCCAGAGAGTCCGTCAAAGGGGGCGGCCAGCTGAAGGCTCTGCTTTGGTACCAAGGGGAGAGCGATACCTCCTCCCAACACGATGCCGATTCTTACAAATCCAACATGGAGAAATTCATCCTCGATGTTCGTGCCGATCTCCAATCCCCGTCGCTTCCGGTCATCCAGGTTCGTAACTCGATATCTTTTAGTCTCACAGTCACCTACCTCTAACTCGTGACTCGGAACACTTTGATCTGAGTCAACTATTCGATTCGGTACTCGAATCCCACTGCATTAAGATGCTGGCTCGTAATTTTGAATCGATCCATTTAAGTTAAAAAAAAAACAGTAGCGACTCGGTATGTTATGTGTGAATGTATATTAGTCCGGTATGCCCTTGGATGAACAGAGTGAATCATTATGCAGGTAGCGATTGCATCGGGAGACGGTCGATTCATAGAGAAGGTAAGAGAAGCGCAACTGGGAATCAAACTACCCAATGTTTACTGCGTTGATGCGAAGGGATTGACGCTGAAGGAAGATAATCTCCACCTAACGACGGAGGCCCAGGTCCTGCTGGGAAACATGTTGGCTGATACGTATCTCACCCACTTCGCACCCAGCACTACTACTGATTAGATTAGATCATTAGAGTTAGACCTTTCACATTAGGCTTTTGGGGTTTTACTGGTTCACTGAAGATTTCCAAATAACTACAGATTATTGATTCTGGAGTGGTAGTAGTAGTCGTCGTCCTCTTTACTCTTTATGCAAGAATGGACAAAGGACAATGGCATTGGGGTCCACTACTTCACTTGAAGAATTTGGCCAGTGAGGCCTTTGTGTCAATCCCTCCTTCCACGAAGGATGTAAGTTGTTGTTAGTTTCTTATGTGTCTTGTGTGTACATTAATTAGCCAATTTAGCTGTATAATTTGCAATGTGGGCTTAATCTTTACTCACGTCACGTATATCACAGCCGTTTGAAACGTATCTTTCATATGATTTGGGTCTTCCATATGGTTTCTCAATATCAAAGCAATAATGCGTTTTACATTTAAATAGGGATGAGTCGATGGCTGGTATTGGACATTATTATTATTATTAGGAGCAAGTATTAGCTGAGGACAATCTCTGTTCATCAAGCTGTGAAATCAATTATAATGTTTATATTGGTAATAAAATATGGGATAAATTTCTTAAACTATCCTTATAATTTAGTTAATTGACTAATTATATCCTTGTTTTAAAATTGATTAATTCTACTTTTACTGTTTTAATACTTTCATAAATCATTCAAATATATATCACGTGACTGTTATTATTTTCAAAAATACCTAATTTACCCTTCTTATAACCATTCAAATCGCCTATAATCTACAAGTCGGCGACATTCTCGTGCAAGAAGCTTCCTTCCCGAAAAATCAATGACAGTCTATATCTTGCCATCACGAAAAAAAAAAAAAAAACTGAAACCCCCACAGATACAAGTTTCACATTCAGTGAAGCAACAAACTGCCAATGTGCCGGAAACCAAAATGGTCTCGGTGATCATCGGTGAGCTTCGAGGTGAGGTCGGCATGGTATTTCAAGCGGTTACGATGGCGTGGCGTCAAATCTTGACGGACATTCGGTGGAGTCGACGGACATTCGTGAGCAGCAGTTCCGAACAGAGCGGCGGTGACAACGAAGCCTTGCAGCGGTTCCGAATAGAACAATAACGGATATTGTTCTGCTCTCCCATCTCTTCCCCCCTCTCTCTCTCCTTCCTGGTTGAATCTTGCGGACGAAGCCTCACCATACCTGTATACAAGTTTCACATTTAGTGAAGCAACAAACTGACAATGTGGTGTTTCGGAAATCAAAACGGTCTCGACAATCATCAGCGAGCTGTGAGGCGAGGTCGGCATAGTATTTCAAGCAGTTCCGATGGCGTGGCGTCAGACCCTGACGGACATTCGTGAGCAGAGGTGGACGAGGGGCGGCGGTGGAGTCGACGGACATTCGTGAGCAGCGGTTCCGAACAGAGCGGCGGTGGCAACGAAGCCTTGCAGCGGTTCCGAACAGAACAATGACAGACATTGTTCTGCTCTCCCATCTCTCTCTCTCTCTGCTCCGCCCTTCCCTATTCCGTGGAGGAGCACACTCAGGTTGCCATTTGGGAGGTAGTTGCAGAAGCAACAACTGGAAGAAGAAAAAGAAATTGTCTTCTTTGTTTGCCGATTGTAGAAGCAACAACTGGGCTCGTCTAAAGTCTGTTCTATTTGCTCTTGTGCATCAGAACTTCTGATCATATCATGGATTTTCATTTTTCATTTTTTATTTTTATTTTTTGTAAGCAATAACACAAACTTTTCAGAAGCAGATTTGTTGGGCTGTGAATTTTCCTCCGACGCCACATCACAATTTCACAACCACATCCCGGGCTCGTGAATTTTCCTGCGTGAGCAGAAATTTGGAGACGCTAATTCATGAAAAAGGAGTGATTGGAGACGCTAATTCTGAACTGAAGTGTTCATTTTTTCTAATGTTTTAAGCAGACAAAACGCAAAACCCGAGCTGTAATCATTCAAAATCGGTGAAGAAGCCATTGCAACCCAAGCTCACGATATTAAAAACTTAAAATTAACAGAAAGAAGCCGTTGATACCTCTCTTCTTCTTGAACTAGAAACTATTGTTTCAGAGAACACCTCTTAAGGCACTATTTCAAATGAGACAAAGATAGCGTAGGTGTCGGAGATGAAGACAGACACGGAACCGGAGTTCGAGATGGACACGGAATCTAAGATGATGATGAGATGGAGATGGGGTCGGAGTTAGATTTGGAGTCGGTGACAGAGATGCGCTGCTTACGTATTAATGGGTTCTTCTGTTGGATCGAAGAGAGTTGGGAGCCAGGCCATGATTTGCAAGGTTAGAAACCGACAGTTTGGAAATTGACTTGCAGCGGTTCCGAACAGAACAATGACGGGCATTGTTCGTCTGCAACTTACAATTGGTCCTAAAACGTTGAAGTCAACCTCTGTTCAAACCCACAATCAACATTTTGGGTTTTGGACCTGGTTCATCGATTCCTATATTCATGGGAGAGATGAGAGAGAAAGAAGAGAGAGTGAGAGAGGGGAGTATGGATGGAATCAAAATTTCATCCACTACCTCTGAATGCGCTCAGAGGTAGCTTGGGCGGTGGAACAGGGGAGAGCGCGGAGGTAGGGAGCGAGCGAGCGAGCGAGCGAGAGAGAGAGAGAGAGAGAGAGAGAGAGTACAGGTTGAGAGAGGGGAGAGTGGAGATCAAGAGGGGAGAGAGAGGAGAGTGGAGATCAAGAGGGGAGAGAGAGATCAGAGAATACAGGTTGAGAGAGGGCAGTGGAGTTGAGCCTACGAAAGCTGAGAAAGGTGTCAAAATTTTTATTTTGAAAATTTAGAAAAGAATGATGAGCAAAATAGTTTTTTTAATCCTCCTATTACTGACAATAAGAAAAATAATAGTCAATTGTTAAAAAGTAACGATAGAATTAGTCAATTTTCAACACTTAATTAGTTCAATAAATCATAAAGATAATTTAAGAAATTTACCATAAAATATATGAAAACCCTAATTCATCCACCGGATCAACTAATCCAAATTATGTCATTGATTCCACAGCCGTTGCATTCAGTTAATTCAATCTCATATTCAATTAGGATTAACTGAATGAGATAGTCTTGTATCAGGCCGTTAAATCAATGATCACTCCCCACATCAATTTTACAATACATAAGGCTCACAATGAGAGGTTAAATGATTGTGAGCCTCATATATTTATTTATAACTCGTGTGGAGTGTTATTTTCCGTTTCACAGCCCACTCAACAGCTATTGCTCTCAGTTGATCCTATCTCCATTGTATTTGATGGTCAATTATTATCGTTATCATTTATGAAGAGGACTGATGCATGAACTGGTATAAAGATGATGGTCAGGATTACCTTTTAGCAATGGATGAAATTACAGCTCTCATTAGATTATGTTTTTTAAAATCGGATCACACGGTTGGACCGGTCATCTAATCAGTTTCGTTTTTTCTCAAAACCATTTTTTTCTCAAAACTATTGATTTTAGTAAGTAAACCGCTGAATCGGTCAGTTAATCATTTGAACCGTTTAAATGATTTTGACCATTTTTCAAAATTTTTTTATTTTTTTTTGTCAGAATGGACCGACTATTTAGATCAAACAGTCGAACCATTTGAACCGATAACCGGACCCCTGACCAATTCGATCACCGGATCGGTTTTAAAAACCATGCAGTAGATTGTAAAGGTGATTTTTTTTTTTTTTTTACGTCAAAAAAATGTGAGAGGTAAGTTTGTTGAGAGTCTGAATCACTTGCCAATAAAATACGTTTAAATATCCTATACCAATACAATCTGACACTGCACGTCTCATACATGACTGATCCCACTTTTACGATGGGTCCCACTCTTATGGTGAGATAGTCGGTGTCAGATCATATTGTTAAAGGGTTTAAACATGTTTTATTGGCAAGAGATCTCAATTTATTTGTTGATGGTGTATATAAGGTATTAATGTAATTTTCTGGCAAAAAAGTTGTAATTACCCGAATCCCTTCAAATTTTCAAACCCAACGACAAAACAAGAATCAGGGTATGAACGCGGAGTTTCATTGTGTGAAGGTGGCAGATGTTACAAATGTATTATTTGGAAAAAGGCAACAAAAGTTTGTGAGAATCGGAGCCAAAACCGCATATTTAAGCTCAGAATGAAGTGATAACAAATACTTCTTGGCTAAATACTTCACGGAACAAGTTTAAATGCATGCGAGGTTGACAATTTAGTAAGTGTTTGGCATGCCACGCCATGGTACTATTGGCAGCAAAAGTTACGAAAATGAGAAAATATCAAATTTAACGTTTTTTCAAACCACATTTCCTGAATTCCAAGGCGTGAATATTTTCTGGAACAACGGTTCCAAACAAGACTACATTTCTTGGTGTGGTGTAGACGTGGCCGTTTTCTGAAGCAACAGCATCAATGCAAAACACCAACTTATAAGAGAGAAAAAGGCATTGTTTGCTAAGGCTTGCTAATAGTATCATAATTCATAAGAGCAAATGTATACTTTGGCAATATCATTCTTATGTATTAAACACTTTAAAATTTACGGATGAGATGGTAATCAAGGTATAAGTAGGGGTAAGCATTTGGGTTTATTCGGTTAAAAATCGAATCGAATAAACCAAAATTTTAAAAACTAAACTGAAAAAATAAAAACTGAAATTTTATAAAAACCAAAATAAACAAAACAAAAAATTTTTGGTTATTTTGTTTAAAACCAAATTTTAATAATATATCTATATAATATATTATAACATATAATTTATCATATATTATGAAAGCAAATTTAATTATATTAATATATACATATTAAAGTCCGATTTATTCAGTTAACCAAATTTGTAATTCTAAAAATCAAAACCGACATACTCAAAAACCAAACAAACCGAAACTGAAATTTTTGGTTCGATTTTTTGGTTTTAACCGAATAATGCTCACCCCTAGCTATAAGTTGTTCATAAGGATTAAATTAAAGCGTATAAATGTTTGGCTAGCTTATGTGATTTAAATAGAAAAGTGACCAACATTTAATTTTTTTTTTCGTTTTAAAATTATTACTATAACCTTAAGGCCAATGCATTCAACAATAATCAAAACACAGTTACATCGAGTCCATAAAGATCTAGCTGTATCTTCATCGGCATTCAATCATAAAACCTTTAAATCTGTATTCAAAACCATCTTGTTAAAAATGACTATGCAATTAAAATTTTTTTAAAAAAACCTAATTATTTTTAACTTATATTTATAATATGTATATAAATATAAAATGCTAAACTTATCAATTATAAATTTTATATAATAATAATAATAATAATAATAATAATAATAATAATAATAATAATAATAATAATAATAATAATAATAATAATAATTTTTGTAGGGACTTAGATTTTAATTGGATTGAATGGGATTAAGGCTCCGTTTGCTTTTCGTTAAGTTACTTACCTAGGTAAATGCACTTAATTGAATTTATCCGGGTATGTGCGTTTACCCATGTTCTTTTATTTTCTAGTAAATAGGGCAATGACCATTTTAATCATAAAAATCTATTATTAAAAGGGACATTTTTGTCCTATTCAAGTGTTTGCAATTTTTCATCCAGGTGGGAAAGTTATTTATCCACCTAGGAGATGGGAGTAAGTGATACCTTGAAAAATAAACTTTCTCTGATCCCTACAAAAATTTGAATAAAGAATATAGGTTTTTATGGTCAATAAGAACCAAAATACTATTAACCAACTTTTCCCCTTCTCAAAATCTAAAAATAAGAACACCCCCTAAATTTGCATCCAATTCGATTATTAACCGAATGCAAGTTTTTACATCTAAATCCAAAATAATCCAATTTGGAGTTGAATCGGACATCAAATTTCCAGTCCTTTGACATCCCTAGGAGTATAGGATAGAACTTAAAAAATCATGGGAAGTGGACCAAGTCCAAGCAAAAGAACAGGTAAGTGCATATCTTGACTTTATGGGCTGGTTGATTATAGATTGTGTGAAAGGATAATCTTGAAATTTTCAATGAGCATGAAGATGCTCTGAAGAGATTGAGAATTAGCCTCTAACAAGAGTTTTACCTACCTTCTAACCAAATAAATTGAGTTCAAATCAGCACCCCCCCCACCAAAAAAAAAAAAAAATTGCCCCTTACAACATCCTATAGCACATCCCTGTCATGTATTGAGAACATCTTTCTATGATAATACAAAAAATGATGATGTCATCATTGAGAAATGTTTTCAATACAAGGCGGGGGAATACGCCTTGGGACGTTGTGTGTGTGTGGGGGGGGGCGCAATCTTGTAGTTGTAGGGGCTGATTTGATCTCAAAAAAATTGTAGGAATTCCTGAATGCCTTTTCTACCCACAAAACTGCCTGTCAAAGCCTGAAACCGTTGCATTTTATCTGCATTCATTTTATCAGTGGCAGGTGCCCTATTATACGTATCTAAACACTAGTGAAAGTGCAGGTAAAAAGTGAAGAATGGAGATCTGAACTCGTTTACCCCAAAACAAAAACTCGTTTTCTAAGCTTCCTCCTGAAGGCTGAAGATTGGAAAAATGTTAAATTGATGCTTGCCTTGGTTTGGATGAAAGACATAATAGTTAATTATATAACCTGTTAACTTTTATTTTTTAATTGCATGTGGCTTACGTTAGTATTTATTTATAAAAAAAAGAAAAAATAGGATAAATTGCTGAAACCTTTACTGAAGTTTCTGACTGTTGCTGAAACCTCTTGTGAATATTATGATATAGTTGTAAGTTGACCTCTTTTGTTAGAATCTTATAAAAAGAGGTACAAAAATGTTCAAAATACTCATACAATTACTATTGAGGCTGGTTTCTACTGAAAAAACAATACAAATTTTATAAACTAAAAAAAATAGAGAATTTATAGTTGTAGGTTTGCCTTTGAATGATTGATATGAAGCTCAAATTTGGAAAATAAATTAAGTTCAAAAAAGAGATTGAATAGGTTGGGGGCTTGGGGCTAATGATTTGTATGAGGATAAAAATTTGAAAATAAACATTTTGATCAAAAGTAACTACATGGGTATTATGAACATTTTCATGACTCTTTTTAGAAGATTTAACAAAGGGTATCTACATGCAACTATGTCACAAAGTTGAGAGAAGGTAATTAATTGCATTTACCAAACTTCAATAAAGCTTTCATCAATAACCAAAAGCTTCAGGGATGGTTTTAGCAATTTACCCATAAAAATAATTAATTGTAAGGCTCAATTTGGGAGGAGTATAAATACAAAAATGTACAGTGTAAATACATTCAAAATAGGAAAATTCCCAATTAGTATCTTGTACTTCAGGCTTAGTGCCACTTTGCTCCCCTAACTTTAAAATACACCAAATTAGTACCCAAACTTTCAAAACTGTCAATCTAATAGCTGTGGTTAATCAGTATTATCAGATGTTAAGTGGTATATGAAAAGACACAAATACTCTTCAAGTGTCATCTAATTTTCTTTATCAACCATTTAAATGCTCTTCTCAAAACTAAAATACTATTCATCATCTTCTTCCTCAAGAAGATGATAAAGATGGTATAAGTTTTTGGTACAGTTTTGCACAGTAATTATTCGACTCCCACAAAAACCAAATGATTCCCCTCAAATGTTTGGCTGGTAGAGAAGAAGCAACAGGAAGGAAAGAATTAAGGAGAAAATGAGAAAGAAACAGGAGTTGCCGTGCTTCTGCTCTTGGTCCTTGGCATGGACTGTGCCTGGGTTCGGATAACAAGTGACGTGGAAGGGAAGGTTAGACCCTAACTCGAGCTTATTGTTTTAAGACGGTGGATATGTCGAGAAGTTGTATGATGGATATCATGTTGTATTTGTTAGGAGCGGACCAGGCATTGAACCCCTCATATAGTCATGTTGTAATGCGGCTTTGAAGATGAGCAACCATTGTTGGTAGAGCTTCATCGAGAGAATTCCTCCTCCCGTCAAGGATTTTTGTTTATCTCACAAAAACTCTATTAATTGAAGTTCATGCTGAACTAATAAACTTGTTTCTTCAAGGAGTTCAAACCAGCCTCCCACATCATAGAACATCTCCGCCTTGTATTGCGAATATCTTTTAATGATGATATCATCATTTTTTATATTATCATTGGGAGATGTTCCTAATATATGGCGGGTATGGGATGTTGTGGGGGACTGATTTGATCTCTTTTTCAAGTTGTTAATTTGTGAAGACTTATGTTGTGAGGAGATTGTTGCTCTCTCTCTCTCTTTCTCTCTCTCAAGCAGTTTCTCTTCAAGAACTGATTTGAATCATAGAGCACTGTTTTAGTCTCAAGATAGAAGATGATGAACTAAGTTTTTCTAAAAGATAGTTTTGACATTGTAAATGGCATATGATATCACTTGATATAGATACCTGATGGATTATTAATAGCACGTTTTAAAATTTGAAAACCAAAGTGACACTAAACCCAAAATACAGGATACTAATTGAGAATTTTACTTTAAAAGGATACAAAATACAAGGTTTTAACTTTTAAACTCTATTTATTTGTAGTTGTTCTCTTTTCCAATTAAGTCTAAGGCTCAGTTTGGAAAGAGTATAAATACATATAAAATATAAGAATTTACACTCTACAGAGTATAAAGGAAAGTTTGATGCAATGCACCAAGAAAGGAACATTTTTGGTCCTCCATTCATTGCAAGCCACGTTATCTATCTGTGTAGCATATTGAAGAGATAAACTTCCCTCAGGACAGGCCCGTGCCCACGCCGTTCCAACGCCATTATAACCTTCCATTGGGAATATCTCCCCATGACGGACGCTGAACTCCATATTCAAGGGATCGAAATTGTTTAACAGGAAGAAGATGGAGGAAAGTAAGAAACCAAATAAAGAAAACGTGGAAAACAGTGAAAGAGAGAGAGAAGTCCCATGTGGCGATATCAAAATTTTATATCAAATAACTTATTTTATAACGCGGCAGATTTTGTATGGAAGACCGAAAAGCACCTCTTTACAGGCATAATCCGGTGTAGACCCCTTCTGAAAAAAAAGGAAGAAAATGTGAATTCAGACAATAGACCTCCTAGTCCACTTCAGATCTGTCACGGATCAGACTTGTTTCTTAAGCCATGGCTTCTCTCTTGGGATTCTCTTCGACTCTTTTCTATATTATTATTATTATTATTATTTATTGGCCAATAAGGAAAACGACTTCGATCGTCTCGTCCCTAACATAGAGAGAGAGAGAGGGAGAGGGAGAGGGAGAGGGAGGGAGGATTCTCAGCTACGAACATACAACGCCGTGAATTGAACGCAAGGTATGCTCTCATTGATACTTTTCATCCTCTTGGCTTATGCCTGGTTATTGAAACCGGCGCAAGTGGTTCATGGATCTGGGTTTTTATACAAGGACATCTTCCTTCTTGCCGGGCAGAGTAACATGGCCGGCAGAGGAGGCGTCGTTGATGAGAAATGGGACAGATTAGTCCCTCCCGAAATCAAACCAAAACCGTCGATTCTCCGGTTCAGTGCAAAGCTCAGATGGGAGGAAGCTGCGGAGCCTCTTCACGCCGACATCGATGTGAATAAGACGTGCGGAGTCGGACCCGGTTTGGCGTTTGCAAACGTGATAAGGGACAAGGATTCAAGCATTGGGGTGGTGGGTTTGGTGCCTTGCGCAGTGGGAGGGACGAATATCCACGAGTGGGCACGGGGGACTCACCTGTACAATCAGTTGGTGAGGAGGGCTATGGCGTCTCTCAATGAGGGTGGAGCCATTCGAGCAATCCTCTGGTACCAGGGTGAAAGCGACACCCTGTCTAAATCCGACGCCCAATCGTACAAGGAGAACTTAGAGAAATTCATTCAAAACCTACTCTCTGATCTCAATTCTCCTATGATCCCAATAATCCAGGTATCTCTAATTCTCTATCTATCTGCCGACTTTTATTTTATTTTTTCTTTCTCTCGACTGTTGACTCTTGAGTGTTTGATCTGAGACAAATGGGTATGATCCCACGTTGCAATTATATAGAATGAGCTAGTAATTGGTTGGTGCATGTGCCTCTCATTTGATTTGAGCATTTAGGAAAACCTGTTCTAGACTAGTAGAATGTTCCATCTGTTACTACATTAAGAAGCTACACCTCATTCCTGCTGGCTGCGGGCTGCTGCTATGGAGGCTTCAAAGTTCAAACCCTCCGCTCATCTCTTTACATTAGAAGTCCAAATCCAACAGTTTTGACATGCGGAGGAAGTCAACAGGTTGCGATATTGGTACATTGGGTTGGGATTACAATTACATAGTGAGTTTGTTATTTTGGGCTTGGATCAAATGTCTCAGGAGTCGGGTATTGGTTGAGATGAGTACAACAACCCAGACCGAGCCGTAGTCCGTAGAGTAATTTTCAGTTGGATACCTAATATATATGACATTGGATAGCATTTTATCTTATATAAATTAATATATTACAATCCAAACGTCCACATGGTCCATCACCTAACTTTAACCAACCTTATGCCATTTTGGGCCCCACCAGACCAGTACTAACATTTGGGTATCTCTTCCAGTGTGGCTACAATACATCCAATCAACGTTTGTTTCTTTTTTTCCCGAGAAATCTTTTGGCTCTAGCAGTGGTAGTTATTTGAATCTGAACGTATAAAAGGGAAAGCACAGTATGGAGTGGAGAAGTGGGACCAAGAATCTTGGGCTTTCTATTTCAACCCTGCCTGGAAAGCCCAGAACCCGAGCCGGGCCCAGGCTAGTGGGCTTGTCACAGGTGCAAGGTCCGGCCTGGGCCTGTCTCATGATCACCCCTAGGGTCAAGACCCACAACCCATCTAAAAGTTTTTGGTGTATGTGTAGGTGGCTCTGGCATCAGGACAAGGGCCGTTCATAGAGACGGTAAGGGAAGCTCAGCTGGGAACCGACCTACCAAACGTTAGGTGCGTTGACGCCAAGGGACTGCCACTTGAAGTAGATAACTTGCACCTCACAACACCTGCTCAATTAACGCTTGGGGAGATGTTGGCTGACGCCTTCCTCAATTATTTTCAAGGTTCAATCCCTATCACCAGTAACGCTCCCAGGAGATAGATAATACGGTTTGTTTTCACTTTTCAAACTTTTTTCAATGGGCCCACAGCTTAGGGTGCTTGAACGATCCTGACCACCTGATTCGGATCAACAACCTTTGGGCCGATGAAATATGGGAGTTGTTAGCAAATTGACCCACTGCAATAGATGCGATACAAATGTTGTATAGTGCACAATATCACAAGTGTTGTGGCCTTGTGGGTTCACCAAAAAAATGTATCCGAATTCCTGAACTAAATTGGCAGTAAGAATAAGCAAAGCACACGTGAGTGAACCCCACTCGAGCTTTTCAAATATATCCTTGAACCCTCTACTTGTATTTTGCTAAGTAGCATTTTTGTCATTTATTCGTATGGGCTAAATGTGACTTGTCGTGGTATTTTCCTTGTCAAGGCTAAGTCTTTGTTTGTTTGTATCACTGGTGCAAATGAAGTGTCCAATTCTTTGGTTTAATTTTACTACAGATTTTATATACATTTTTTTTTTGTTTATTTATATTGCAGACAGTTAAAATAAAACCAGAATAAAATAAAGTACATCCCCCGAGGCAAAAATCAACTAAATTTGCAATTTTTTCGTTTACACTCTCATGCACTTGTCCTAATATATATAAAATTGCATTGTAAACAAACATAGATTTTCAATTGATATCTCCCACCTTGTGTAATTCCTCCTCATTTAACATTAAAAAATAAAAAAAACATAGCCTTTAGTAGATCTTTTAATGCCCATACCATTAGAATTTTTGGGATAAGTTGACTGTACTTCACCTCAGAATTCTAAATTCAACTGCAGACCTATAACAATTCAAAATTATAAATGCATTCACCTATAACACCCATATTCACTCGTAAGTAGGGGTGGCAAATGGGTGGGTTGGGTAACGGTTGAATACCAACCCACCCATATTGACCCATCAATCCACCATGATGCAACATTAATCCTTGTTAAAGGGTTACAACCCACCCTAACCCTAACTCACCCTGATCCACCCATATTGACCCACTTGACTCATCCATATTGACCATTAATTACCCTCACCCATACTAACCTACCTACCATCACTTATAAATACAAAAATAGGTCGGGCTGGCCCATATACCCAAAGTAATAAATTTTGAAAGAATAATCTCTCTTAAGACTGCGACATGACAAAAATGAGTCATGTCAACCCGTATACCCGAAAATGCAAAAATTGTAGATAAATGCAGAAAATGCAAAAAAGTACCAAAAAATTGTAGAAAAATACAAAAAATACCAAAAATCTGAAAAATACAAAAAACTAAAAAATTATAGAAATTTCAGAAATTTTGTAGAAAAAATAAGAAAATATGCAAAAAATATGTAGAAAAGCACAAAAAATTGTAAAAAATGCAGAAAATACTAGAAAATACAGAAACTACAGAAACTGCAAAAAATAACAAAAAAATTGCAGAAATGCAAAGCTTTTATAAAAGTGCTTTCGCAAAAGTACTTTTATGAAAGTACTTCTACAAAAGTACATCTATAAAAGTTCTTTCATAAAAGTACTTTCGTAAAAGTACTTTTATAAAAGTGCTTGTGTAAAAGTACTTTTATAAGTCATTTTATGCTTTTATAAAAGTATTTTCATAAAAGTACTTTAATAAAAATGCTTTCGTGTAAAAGTACTTTTGTAAAAGTGCTTTCATAAAAGTACTTTTATAAAAATGCTTTTATGCTTTCATAAAAGTGTTTTCGGAAAAGTACTTTCATGTAAAAGTGCTTTTATAAAAGTACTTTCTTAAAAATGCTTTCGTATAAAAGTACTTTTGTAAAAGTGCTTTCATAAAAGTCCTTTTCATAAAATTGCTTTTGTATAAAATTGCATGTGAACACGAAAGTTAATAAAATCTATTTTATTTCACTTTTAATCTGAAAATGTAATGTGACATGGTGGTTTGGAAGTCTAATGAGATGTCTTTACAGTTGGAGGCATGAATTCAAATCATTGCAACTTATATTTTTTTAGATTTGGTGAGTATAGATAGAGTTGACTTTGACCTACCCCATCTTGACCCGTGCGACCCAACCCATCCTAACCCTAATAGGTACTATTGACCCAACCCACCCTGACCCTTTTCCATTGACCCTAATGGGTTACTTGACCCATATTGACCCACCAATAGATTGGGTGGGTTCCAAGGTGGCTGGGTCAAATGGGTTAGGATCAAGATTGCCAGGCCTACCCATGAATTGGCATCAATTCCAAGCTAGCACTTACCCCAACTGTACGGTGAAGCTAAGATTTTTGAGGGTGGATTGAACAGTAAAAACCCTAGATTTTTTTAGTAATTCATACCATGACACCATTAGATTTTGGCCAGGCCCAAAAGCCCTTAAAGACCAAGAAATGCTGGAGGTAGGGGTGTCAATTGGACTGGATTTGGTCCAATCCAATCTAGTCAAATGTGTGCCCATTACAAATGGACTAGGTCCAATCCAATCCAATGAATATTTTGGATCATTTGGACTGGTCCAATTCATTGTCTGGACCATCCAATATGTTCAAATTTGTTTTAATTTACATCAAATCTAAATCAAACCTGGTCCATTGACACTTATATTCTTATCTTCTATCAATGGATCAGATATTGGCTCAATCCAACCCAATCCAATATAAATTCATTACGAATGGACCAGGTCCAATCCAATCCAATAAATACTTTGGACCATTAAGTCTGAATTGATCCAATTCAATGTCTTGTTAGTCCATCCAATCCGCACAAAATTGATTTTGGTTTTGGATAACTCTAATCCAAAACCGGTCCATTGACACCCCTAACTGGGGGTTAGATTTAGTGATTGACTAACACCCTTACATAACCTAATAATCACTTATTACACTATCTATTATCTATTATATAAAATATTTATATTAATTACAGAAACTAAAACAACAAGAAAAAATGTAGATTATGAGCTATATATGATTTGATGGGTGGCAAGGTGATGCAGGAATGAGCTAGCATGGATGTGGACTAAATCGAGTCTGTTTTTGATCCTCTCCACTCACTTGTAGTAGGAAATCTACAATATAAACCAATCCAATACTTGAATTTCGAATATTTTAACAGCCCGAATTGTTATTATTAAGCATGGTTTTAAAATCGATCGTTGTTGATTCGGGCTGTTAAACCATTGGACCTGGGAGTGTTGACTTGGTCAATAAATTATTGATCCAGTCAATTAAATTGCTAAACCATTGAATCTGATGAACGATTTTTTGGTCATTTATATTTTAATTTTTTTAAATGTGATGGGTTGATCAGTCAGGACAAATGATCAAATTGCTAACCCAGAAACCACTGGCCAAAGCGGTTCGTTTTTATGTTTTTTTTTAAAACCTTGTTATTTATTAAGTGAAATGTACATATGAAAAAGGTGAAACTGAAAGTAATCAAGGTCCAAAGTATTGAAAACGCATAAAATAACAAATATATATATATAGTAAAATTATGCAGTAAAAATATAAATTATAATTTTATGAATTATTCAATTTAAATGTTATTCAAATAATAAAAATTTAACATTCGAAAATAAAAAAAAAAATTTCAATATTTCAATAACTAAATATCTTAAATAACTGAACATTAAAAAATAAATTTATGATACGAAATATTTTAGATTAAGAAATATGGAAATTTTCCCACTTTCCTGTATTAAAAAGTATATTTAAAATAATATATATATATATATATATATATATATATATATTAAAAAACTAAATTTATGATATGAAATATTTTAGATTAAGAAATATGGAAAATTTCCCACTTTCCTGTATTAAAAAGTATATTTAAAATAATATATATATATGGTTGGGTTGATTCAATTTTGGTCGGTTTACAAATGAACAAACAAAAACTGACCTAACTTGGTTGGATTGAAAAATTGCTGAACCAAAGCTGATCGGAAATAGTAGAAAATCAAACCAACTCAGGCCAAGTTTGATTTTAAATTTTAAATAGCTAAAGTAACGAAATTATGTAATAAATTTAAGAAATTTCTTAAAAGTAGAAAAATAATTATAATAGATTTCATAATATTCATATTAAGAATAATTAAATATTTTATAAAATTAATAACAAATTATGTAATAATAGTACTAATTATAATTTTATGGATTATTAAATTCAATAAATAATTAATATTTTAAAATTTGAAATAAAATATTTTTTAAATAACTAAATAATATTTTAAATAACTAAATTCACCTGTATCAATTAATAATTATAGAAAATAACTTTCAAAAAATTAATAATGTGTATTCATTATATATTTATATATACTAAAATTAATATTTATTTTATTCTTAGTAATTATTTATTGTATTTTTTTATAAATATGTTTTCAATAATTTTTTATAAATCTATTTTTGCTTTGTTATTTAATAGAAAATTGTCAATAGTTGTTGGATATTAAAAAACTACTATTTAACTTTTGAAATTTAATTTATTGTATTTTTGTTATAAATTTATTTTTAGTAATTATATATATTTTATAATTTATATATTAATATTTATTAGAGATTAAACTATTATTTGAGATTACACTATTTACTGACTATTTTAATATATTTTTAGTATTTATTGTATTTTTATTAGATATCTATTATATTTTCATTATAAATTTAGGCCCTACTTGGATAGGCTTATATAATGCACTTTCATACTTTTGAATGTATAAAAGTACAAAAAAAAAAACGACAGTTTTTTGTATTATGTACTTTATACATTTTGTTTTCATACTTTTATACTTCGTGCTTTTGGTGAAATTGTGCTTTCGCTTTCGTGTGAACGGGTGGTCATGTGTGACCACCCTTCAATAAACTGTTGACCTTACCTCTACTTGCTATTGCTAGAATCAAACTGTCATCACCGGTCTCAGACCCCGAAACCACCAAAAATCGTCACTAACGTGCTTTTGTCAAACAAAAAATGGTACTTTTCAAATTTTTTACTCAAACGGTTTTCAGAGAAAAAAATACCAAAATAAAAATATTTTATGTACTTTATACTTCGATATTTTTAAAAGTATAAAAGTAGAAGTTTATCCAAATAGCATCTTATTTTCAATGGTTGTGTACATTTGCTATAAATTTTTAATCATTATTGGAGATTAAACTATTGCTATTTATTAGAGATTAGATTATTAATTTGGCTGAAATTTAGAGTGTTCAAGTATTGGTTCAGTTCAATTGCAAGTTGTTTTGCCAACCAAATTGACCTGGTCAAGTATGGAGTTTGTCACCTGAAACTGATTGACCATTAGTAAAAACCCGCCAACTCGGGTTGTATCGATTTGGGTTTATTTTCAGTTTGGTTTGTTTGTTCAAATGATATAAACTTAAAAATTAAATTTAAATTTAATTAATTATAGTGATATTATTAAAAACAAATTAAAAAAATAAATTTATGATATAAAAATATTTTAGGCTGAGAAATATGAGAATTTTCCCACTTTCCTGTATTAAAAAATTAAATTTAAAATACAAATTATTAATATATATTTATGGTTGGGTTGGTTTAGTTTTGGTCGGTTTACAAATGACCAAACCAAAATTGACTTAACTTGGTCGGGTTGGAAAATTGCTAAACTAAAGCTGATCGGAAAATACTAGAAAACCGACCAATTTAGATTGGGTTCGATTGGATTGGTTATTAAAAAGTTAAAATATAAAAAAGGTATATATTATAATGTTCTTATGTATTTCTATTATTTAACTTTCCCTTAACTAAGTCCATACATCACATGGATCCCCACTAGTATAAAATAATACAAAATAGGATACTCTACATATTATTTGGCTCTTCACTATTGTAAATACATCTGACAAACATCTCTTGATTGTTGTGTTTTCATCTGTAACAGTGGCCAAAGATGTACAGCTGTTAAGGTTGTCTTGGTGATTAATCTCATCCTAGGATTTCATCTGTTATGTGAAACATATTATTTGAATTCTAAATCTTAGCCTAGAAGGATCCAAATCTGATTCAATTTCATCATCATCATTCAAAGCCTTATCTTAACTATATGGTCAGCTACACAAATTTTGTTTCGTCGTTCCTTTCTGTTGAAAACAAACCTGAATATTTGAATCAATTTCAAACTCAATAAATTTGTACAAATTTAATAAAAAAATTAATCAATTTCACCATTGCAATGCTAAATTTTGGCCTGCAGGTAAATATTCCATCTTCCTATCCTCCCTTAGACATCAGTATAAATCCCTTTGTCTTCCTATGACACATTGAAGATTCTACTCCAAGGTGTTTTCTCCCAACCTGTCATTCTATTGAGAATGTATGATATTTCCAACCCCAAGTTTGCTTTATTGTAATCTCCTTGGACCTAGCTATTAATTACAAACAAAAGATAGTTCCTCAATCCAGGAGTTCCAGGACTATCCATTGAGTGGTTGTCGTGGATTTCTGTAGTCCAATAATCACTCGCCTAAAATCAATAAGTTAGTGGTTTGATGGTTCATTTAAATTGGCATTGGGAATTTGGGGTAACAATTAGAATTATACTGTAATCTGGTTTCCTCGTAGGACGGATTACTCCCATGGGATTTTTTGGAACAATATGCATATGCATATGCATTTTACTCATAAAAGTAATAAATAAGATGGATTTCAAATGAAAAAATGGTTTGCGATTGGGTTGAGCTTGGAGTTCATGGTGTGAGTTATGATGAATGAAAAAACCAGAAACATACAACCGAACAAAAAATGATAACCAAATTCATCAATGGTTTAGAGATTATAACAATTGTAAACAACTGTAATTAAACAAATCAAAATCAAAATAAACATAAAGAGCCGTTTGAAGAAGAACAACTGTAAACATAAAGATTAGAATCAAAATCAAAATAAATATAAAGATTAGAACAACTGTAAGCCATCATTTGTTAAACATAAAGAGCCATTTGAAGATGAATATCTGAACCCTATGAACAGCCGTTTGAAGAAGAAGAAGAAGAAGAAGAAGAAGAAGAAGAAGAAGAAGAAGAAGAAGAAGAAGAAGAAGAAGAAGAAGAAGAAGAAGAGGAGGAGGAGGATACCTTCGACGAGACGAATAGCGATCTTCAGTCAAGACGTGGTGAGAATGTTCTTCCAAAGAGAAAATACAAGTGGAGGTAAATGTTAGGTTTTAGAGTTGATAGGGGCAAAATTGTGTCATTTCCATATTTCTTAGAGAATATTTTTGACTTTTTGCTCGCTTTAAAACATGTTTGAGCACGTTAAGAGCCGGCCCATGAACTTCAAAATTCAGAGATTCAGACCCATTTTGGTGTCTGAAAAGTAAGTTTCGAACCTCTGGTATCAAACGCCCCCTAAATATAAAATTTTATGCATATATAATAAATTCGGACTCGGATAAAAATGGAATTAGAGCGTTGTATTATAATCTCTCCTACGGATCTTAGTACTGCAAGCTGTTTTGGAGTTTTATACAACTACACAATCAAAATCATCATAGTTATTTATTAATTTAGCACAAATCATTAATTAATTAATTAAAAAAATTGATTGCGAATTTAGACCTATATTTTTTATTATTTATTCACCAACCGAGTCCCCTGACCCCTGTCTTGCGCAGATTTTTCTCTGAGGTAGTAGCAGCAGCAGCAGCGGAGGCAACAGGAAATTGCTGCAATGGCTACCAATGCATTATCTAACCTTCTCTCTACTCCCTCTCTGAAGAAACAACAATCTTCTTCTCCGTCTCTCTCATGGTGACTTCCTCTCCCCTCCGCCTTCCGCGTTTCCATCGCTGCTCCTTCGCGCGCCAGGCCGGCTCCCACCTTTGTTGTGGTGGCCATGGACGCAAAACCCACTATCCTCGTGGCCGAAAAGTTTGGACAGGCCGGCCTCGACCTCTTGAAGAACTTCGCCAACGTTGACTGCTCTTATAACTTGACCCAGGACGAGCTCTGCACCAAGATCTCACTCTGTGACGCCTTAATCGTCAGGAGTGGCACAAAAGTAACTCGGGAAGTGTTCGAATCGTCCGGTGGCCGCCTTAAGGTGGTTGGCCGTGCCGGTGTTGGAATCGACAATGTCGATCTGTCCGCTGCTACTGAGCACGGGTGCCTCGTCGTTAATGCTCCTACTGCTAATACTGTTGCTGCCGCCGAGCACGGCATTTCCCTCCTCACTGCTATGGCTCGTAACGTCGCGCAGGCTGATGCATCTATTAAAGCCGGTCGGTATATTATTTCTTTTTTTAATTTCTTTTCTTAGCCATTTCTCTAAGGAGTGCGTTATTACGCTTGATCGGACTGAAAAGTTCTCTGGTCTGGTCACGGTTAATTGGATGGTTGGTTCCTTTTCCCTTATTCATAAAACTTCGTTAATATCGAGAAGATTTTAAAAATATTTTGTGGATAACTAATTTTGATTTGGCCGTTTCTTCGAACAGCTTATATTCTTTTGTTTTTAATTTTTCGTTAGTCATTTTACTGATCAACATGTCGTTACGTTTGATCAGAATAAAAGTTCACGATTGTGTTGGCGGTTAATTCCTTGATTTATGATTTTTCGTTTCGATATCGAGATGATTTAATATATTTGGAGGTACTTTTGTGGATTCCTAAGATGGTGATTTTACTGAGAACACTGAAATGTGGATTAAGATCCAACTGTTGACAGGTTATGTTACAAATCCCGGCATTGCTGTATTTTAGTAAGATTTTTTCCCCAGTTGAAAATAATGACCATAGAACTTAACACAGTGAATAGTGAAATAGTGGAATTAAGAGCACATGCTCGGAGGTTGGATCCAAGCAAACGCTCTTTCAATCTCCAAGGCAGTTGAAGTGTCAACTTTTGGGACTTGTGTTTTAAGAACAAAATGAAGAAACATGATAAGGACAAACATACTTGGACTAAATATATTGCTCTGGTGTGTTTATTTATAGGTGCTAATGTCAATAAAGAAAAAAGAACAGTATGTAGTGATTATCAGAATGTTTTGATTGAATTGTTGTTGCCTATAAGATTGAAATTTTGATCTGTGCTGGTCTCAGACCACTATGTAGACCCCTGTTATGAAATGTTGCAAATTTGCTTACTTGGAAATCCAGTGGACATACTTTGCTTTTCTTCATGAGTATGGTGCCACTGGATTTTCCAGTAAACTTCAATATCTATTAGTTATAACAATATAAGGTTTCTATAATTTTTTCCATGCTTCCATTTCTCCATGTCATCCAACCCAATACTGTACTAGCGGTTTGATCAGTCCTGGTGATAATTGACAACATTCTAGTGAATGCTGGTCTTTAAGCTTGAACCATATAGTTTCAGAATCTCAATTCTATTTTGGTGACTTTAGGCAAGTGGCAACGAAACAAATACGTTGGTGTCTCACTTGTTGGGAAGAAACTTGCTGTAATGGGATTTGGAAAGGTTGGATCAGAAGTTGCCAGGCGTGCTAAGGGACTCGGCATGCATGTGATTGCACATGACCCATATGCCCCTGCAGACCGTGCTCGAGCAATAGGCGTGCAGCTGGTATCTTTTGATGAAGCCATATCAGCTGCAGATTTCATTTCGCTACACATGCCTCTTACTCCTGCAACATCAAAAATTCTCAACGATGAAGCTTTTGCAAAGATGAAGAAAGGAGTTCGCATTGTCAATGTTGCTCGGGGTGGTGTGATTGATGAAGAAGCCCTTGTGAGAGCACTGGATGCTGGAATTGTTGCTCAGGTTCTTCTTGGTCCATTCTCAAGCTTTTTTTTTTTCATTATTTGTTAAACTGCAGAATAAACATTGGATGATTTGTTTCTTTTGATGCAGGCGGCACTTGATGTCTTCACAGAAGAACCGCCTCCAAAAGACAGCAAGCTGGTGCAACATGAAAATGTAACCGTCACTCCACATCTTGGTGCCAGCACCATAGAAGCTCAGGAAGGAGTGGCAATTGAAATAGCTGAAGCTGTCGTTGGAGCTTTGAAAGGGGAGCTCGCTGCTACTGCAGTAAATGCACCAATGGTTCCTGCTGAGGTATCCTTGCAAATTCTCACCCATGTTATCATCATCTTTATTGAAATTGGAAAACCGGCAAATAAATTTTCTCGGAAAATGGCCAGCAGAAACCTGCCTTTATTTTTTTTCCCGACTGGTAGTTGTCTTCAACTTTTTCATCAGTTGGATTTGAAAATTAGAAGTCATTGTTTGGTGCAATGGTAAAATCTTAGGACAAGAAGTCTGATAATGCAGGTTCCAGTTTAGAAGCGTCTACTTTGTGCACATCCAGTTTACCCCTGCCAGGACCTTGGATGGTTGGAGCCACCCTTTAGTAATGGCCCTCTAGTAGGGTTTGGAATTTACTTTTGTCATTTACAGCTCCGGGATGTCCAATCCTCTCCATAACTTGTTCAGATGGAACTTAGTATTACTAGAAACCCAGTGCACTTGTGGTTTGGGGATGAACCATCCGATTCGTCACCTCTTGGAATTTTGCAAATTGAAAATTTGACCTACCCTACTGTGTACAATGCCAGCATGGGTAAAGGAAGAAGCCAACTTCCTTTCAAGTTAGTTATGTCTACCATCCTTCTGAGGACAGAAAAACCTGTATCAGTCTGACACTGCTGGGTTAGAACTTAGAATATTGAGGATTGGTAGGATGTATTGCGTTCTTCTGTGAGATTGTCTCCCCTGTGACTGAATCAAGATGGAGAATTCCATAAAACAATTTCTGGCCTACAATGCTTATGTAAAGCACACATAATCTAGTCCAACAGTTTGAACCACTTTTTTTTTTATAATTTTTAATCTTTTGTTCATAATTATCGTACAAATCCAAAAGTTTGAAGTTCAAACCTTGGGAGAAGAACTAGGACTTGATAGCCTTTTCATTTCTAGAGTCTTGTGTTGTGAGGAGCATATATCTGACAAATTCTTTCTGACTACAGGTTCTATCAGAGCTTGCACCATTTGTTGTACTGGCAGAGAAGCTTGGCAGACTGGCTGTACAACTGGTAGCAGGTGGGAGTGGCGTGAAATCGGTCAAGGTCACATATGCTTCTTCAAGGGTTCCAGACGATCTAGATACCAGGGTGCTCCGTGCCATGATCATCAAGGGACTTATTGAACCCATATCAAGTGTGTTTGTGAATTTAGTAAATGCTGATTTCACTGCTAAGCAGAGAGGATTGCACATAACAGAAGAGCGAATCCTGCTAGATGGCTCACCTGAAAATCCACTTGAGTTCATCCAGGTTCAAATTGCCAACGTAGAATCAAAGTTTGCCAGCGCCATCTCAATTACTGGGGAGATTAAAGTTGAGGGAATGGTGAAAGATGGGATACCCCACCTAACAAAGGTAGGATCTTTTGATGTAGATGTGACCCTGGAAGGCAGCGTCATACTCTGCAGGCAAGTTGATCAGCCAGGTATGATTGGAAAGGTAGGGAGCGTCTTGGGCGAGGAAAATGTCAATGTGAGCTTTATGAGTGTTGGGAGGATTGCTCCACGAAAGCATGCAGTCATGGCAATTGGGGTCGATGAAGAACCCAACAAGGAGGCCCTAAAGAAAATTGGGAATATACCAGCCATTGAAGAGTTTGTTTTCCTCAAGTTGTAGTATGAGCCTATGGGGTGGGTTACTCGGTCTGCTTTAAGTCTATTTTGGAGAGTATGCAAATATGCATGGAGTAGCTCTTACAGTTTCTTCGCAGGAGATCAAGGTTGTGAACGTTTTATATGTTGAGAATTTTGGGAATAACGGCGGTTCTAAAACAATCGTAACCTAAGTAATAATTCGCAGTGTGCTCGGCCTTAATCTACCATTATTCTAATTCACAAACTTAATTTTCTCTTATTTCACATGCAACTTCAAAACCTCGCATCCCGAGATATGATTTAATAGTGATGCCTCCAAATCTGATCCTGCTCACTGCCTTGACCTTGACCTTGGACGTCAGACGTGGAGACCGTCACAACGGCGGCAGCTTATCCACCTTTACGCCTAGATCTAGATGACAGGAGGTTAAGCCCACCTTGGCCCTTGGGGACAAAGCAATAATCTTGTTTACTAGAGCAACGTCATGTTTCACAGAAAAACTTTTCAATCTGGATGTTGTATCCCCTTTACAATCATTTCTGGAATTATTTCTAATCCTAGTTTGGCATGATATATTAATAAGTGCCCCCTCAGAATTAAATACAAACTTCTCATCCTAAAGTGGTTGACATGTCTACATATTACCTTTCTTCAGTAAAGAATTCCAGTGAAAAAACCACCTCTAGCTAGATACACTGCCGTCTGAAGCCAGCACTGAAGGTTCCTATCATGTACCATATACGAGGTACATTAGTAATCAGGTAATGCATAATTTGTTGGCCCATAACTCATACTTCGCAAACAGTCCTGCCATAGCTGCCAATATAACAACATATCTGATTGTCCTTATTTTACTATTAAGAATATTTATTGGCAGTTATATGAGCAGTACGAGGAGCAACAGGGAAGCAACAATCGGAGAGCTCAGCAAGTTAAGCAAACTATGATCTATGAACCAGAGAGAAATGGAATCTCAGCTAGGGCAGTGGGTAGAGAGATATGGAGATTGTGAACAGCTAAATAGGCAACAATACCGGCAGTATAACCAGCGAAAGCAAAACCACTCACCTGCAAAAGAAGGTGTTCACCGAAACTGATAAGATTACGGTTGTGACTTCTATCTTCATTGATTTATTGTTTTTGGAATATGGTGTATGGCTAATAAAAAGCAGTAGATATACCTTTCGCAAGTACCAAAAGAAATCCACCTTCTCCATACCCATAAAAGCAACACCTGCTGCAGAGCCAATAACCAGCATGGATCCACCTGTTCCAGCACAATATGCAACCAGCTGCCAAAATTCAGAATCCTGGGGAAAGGAAGACAGATCATACATTCCCATTGCAGCTGCAACCAATGGAACATTGTCTATAACAGCCGACACAGCTCCAATTGCACTTGCAATCAGCTCAATATTAGGGATATGAGCATCAAGGTAATTCGCCAGTTCTCTCAGGATTCCTGCAGCCTCCAAGCTACAAAAATTAAGCTTTGTCAGCATGAGAAATTACAATACATTTCCTTTTATTATAATCCATAAAATAGATTAAGAATCTTCTAAACTGATATGCATATAAATGTTTTCAGCATATACTGTAAAATATCTAAAGACATTTAAGCAACTAGTGAGTCCATTAGACATGTGAGCAAAGTTGATGTCCCACAGTGTACTAGTTATATATTTTGATCATATAATGTCTTTCATCTCACCACTTATAATACACACAAAATAGTGTCATTGATTTCTTGAATTTAAGAAATCTATTGTTGAGGAATAGAAAAAGGTATAAAGATTCTTTTTTTATGAATAACTGAAACTGATTCATTAAATTAAAAAGAGATAATATGAACGAAAAAAAAGAGAGATAAACTCTCTTAGCTCTCCTAAATTAGAGCAAATGATTACAAAACAGCCCAAAACAATTGATTCCTTCCCACCCCCTTGTTTAGCCACTATAGCAGAAAAAACAGTTAGCAGTCCTTTTCACCTATTGTAGATTGACCTCCATTCCTTGTGACAGCCACTTAATCCTCCTTTCATTAATGTAGCTCCACCAGCCAGCCTTCTCTTCCTTTTGCAGCTAATCAATAACTTTGGTTCCCCTTCAATTATTAATTTATGAATGCCCAACTCAGATTTTTGGAGTCCTTCCAAGATGGCTATTATTTCAGCCCACAAAGAATCACCCATGCCAATCAGATCTGAATAAATGGCAATAATTCTTCCTTCCTCATTCCTAAATACTCCTTTGCTAAGGGACCTGGATTTCCTTTACTACTCCCATCAAAATTCAGCTTTATGAATCCATCTGAAGGTGGGGATCAAATTGGCCTAACAAGAGCCTTGAATGGAGGAGAAGCAGCTACTTCCTTCCAATTTCTCACCAAATCAGCTGCATCGACATCCTCAAAGAGTTCCAAGGACTTCACTCAATGAATCACTCTAATAGAAATGGCTTCAATTAGGGCACCTCTACTACTCTCCTTTTCTACAAAAATCCTTTGATTCCTTTCTTTCCAAATTGTCCAACACACTGCTACCCATGTTGATGTAGGACCAGCTCAGTTCTAGTCCTTAGAGAATGTGAGAATGTTGAATGGTCTTCTTGATCAGAGATTTATGGCTGTCGATGGTTGTAATGGCTTCTTGAAGGAATAAGAAAGAAAATAGGGAGAGAAAGAAGAGAGAAAATACCTGGAATCACTCACAGGGTGCCTAGAATCACCCTAAGGCATGGGAATCACTCACTATAGTTAGCATAAGCTGAAGAAAACTCAATATAATTCATTGCCTTTGTGTAAAATGTCCATACATATTTATAGATTCTAAACTCATAATAATCTTAGGAGTTAAACTGTTAAGACTCATAATAGTTTTAGGAGTCAAACTGTTAGACTCAATAATCCTAGTAGGATTCAAACTAACTTGCCATATCCTATTTCAATTCAAAGAAGACTCAATAACTCTAATCCTACTTATGCAATGACTCTAAAATTTTAAACATAAACAAACTATAACTAGACAAACTAAACCATATCACTGGACCCTACAGGAAATTGCAAACTGAAAAAAATACCCCCTACTGTCCAAAAATATAGAAATACATAAAATTTCATAAATATCCAATTTTGACTCTTCAGCTTCTGCATCACTTGTACACCTCCATAAGGTTTTTCTCCTCTTCTTCAGACAGTTAACAAAGGTAGAGAGGAACAGGCTTTGTTTATTTGGCGGGGGGTTACACCTACACCCAAACAAAGAAAGAAACCATTCCTAAATTAAAGAAACGAAATGGGTAGGAGATTAATAAGTGGTAGCAAGTCTCACTGTCGGCCTTTCCAGAAATATTTCCCAGCAAAAGGCTCTTATCTTAGGTGGAATAGGCTTGCTCCAAACCTCCTTTATAGGACAAGGCACACCATGACTATCACTCAGATAAACTAAAGACGAAAGGAATGAGGCAAGTGAAGGAACCAAAGGAGGAGAGTCCAAATCCTATTATCCCTTTCTTAGGGATCCAAGAAAACCCCTTCTAGACTTTGGAGCAACAACATGACACTACTTATTTCCGACTCACAGAGACCTCTCTTGAACCCCAAGTCCCAATCAAACCTAGACCTTGAGTTGAAGGAACTAAAAAAGAAGAAATTGGCTCATCCCTTTCGTTGGAGGACAAGGCATAAAGAGAGGGGAATTGCAGTGTTTTCAACTCATTATTGACCCGACCAGTTGAACCATTCAAAACGTCATGATTCCGGGTCCAATTCTCTTAAAATCCGACCATTGGTAAAAAACCATTGACCTGCCCAAAAACCATCCAACCCAAGTGGTTGGACTGTTGACCCATTCAGCTCAGTGATCGGGTCACGGGTGGCACACTAGTGTGTATGCAAAATTCTAGAGGCCAAAACTTTGCCCTCAGATGTCTGATTGTGGTGATCGTTTTTTTTTTTTAATTTTATTTTGGGTAGCTTTTCAAGATCTATGGATCCCAAGGTGTTGTAGGCACCTCGCCCCACTACTTACATGTAAAAATAATTATACATTATTTTATAGACAAAACATTGTGTACACACACATATGTATGTATGTTTTACATACATTGATGTGGCATGGTTTGATCCATTCAAAAGGACGATCGAACTAGTGACTTGTGACCCAAAGGTAAAAATGGTTCAGCCTCTGGGTTGGTTTTTAAAACATTGAGGAATTGTTCTTTTAAGTTTGAGTTGCCCAAAGTACGGTAGAATGGCATGAAAGTTGGTAGAAATGGTCGAATGCCAACTTGACACAACCATCCTCCTTTATCCCACTCCCACCTTGTAAATAGGTAGCGCTCGGATTCTCTCTAATAAACATATATACACATATATTTGTACTCCATATGGACACACACACACACACACGCACACGCACACACACACACAGTAGGGCTGCAGATGGTATCCGATTGTGTGAATTCAATCCCATTAAGAAACCCCTTGATCCATTTATAATTGGATCAAATATGGATCCGCCCCTATCTGATCAAATATAATCTGATTTGATTTGATTTGATACACACAGATATTTTTATATTGCATATATTAGTATAGTTGGTTTGGATGTCATGTTTTTACTAAATTGGCATAGGTTCAAGTTTCAAACAAGTAACTTTCAATTTATTTTGTTCATGAAATACAATATCAAAGTCATTTTTGTTCATTTTATTAATAACATAGAGTCTAACTATGATACCAGAAAGGCATGATATCTGAAAAAGTGATAACCAATCAACCAGTGTCATAAAATTGGTAACCAATGAGCTGGTATTTCATCAAAATTCATTGTGTGTGTGGGGGGGGGGGTCTGTGATTGGTCAAAGTTCTTCTGGTATCATACTTTTCCAGCATCATAGATATTGCCTATATAAATTTTGATCACTTACAGTTTAATTTATTTATATTATTCGATATCCAATTGTAATCCAAATTCAAATAAAATCCAATACGAAGTTGAATATAAATGAATCAAATTTGGATCTACCCATGTTCTCTATATGGAAATTTTGGTCCAGATGTCCAGTATCCCTTGCCACGTAGCATATATAAAAATGTTTCCCTGCTAGTTTATTCCAATGAGGAGTAAAAGAAAATAAAATTTGGAATTCAATTCATAGGGATGGTCTATATCACTATTCACTAGTATAAAAACAATAATATCGTTATGCAAATGACTAATCTAAATCAGATGGTGGATGGCCTATATCAGTCATACTAGTGCTTCTTGTTGAAAAAACCTGTCACTCACTTCCAAACCCACATAAGTATAACAGAACATGATTACGCAATTTTCTCATAACATTTGATGTTTATGATTTAAAAATGCATCCCTTTAAGTATTCTAGTTTCACTGTTATTTATCATTTTACCCTCTGTGCACTGTATTAAGTGTAGTGGGTATTGTCCCTCTTGTAGGTAGTACCTGCTTTTTATTGTATCAATAAATCTTAAGCCCCCCTCCTGAAAGAGTAAAGGTAGGGTTTTGAAAAAAGAACACAAGAGAAACAGAAACTGAACAAAAATATATAAAGATGCCCCAAGAGGTTTTCATTACACAGAGCTCATTTAACTTACCCTTATCCCAATCATTTTCTAGACAATCCTGCTTCAAACTTCCACCTTGTATAGGGCTATACCCATGCAATACAAGCCCTCAAGTCTTTTCTCATTACTTCAACTAATGTCCTTAAACTTGTCATTATCCTTTTAGAGCCGTCACCTTTTACCAAAATGCTCCTAGCTGTTGCAGGATTTGGTCTTTGGCAGACTTGACCATCCACCCAACATAGTTGATTTTCACCTCATCTTGTTACTAATTGTGCATACTCCTGATACTCCTAATAAGATGCATATATTTATACGTGATATGTCCCTTTTTACATAGTCTTTCTAGGTGTGCATATTCACAACCTAAGCCCAGCTTAGCTCATCCTATGATTTAAGGGCCTGTAATTTCACAATGGATATGTCACTGAACAGAACAGAATGACGAATAAGATTCATGTAGCCAACCTCATATGGTAGGGACAAGGCTTAGTTGATGATAGTGAAGATTCTATCCCCTGTATGGTGTATTGCATTAATATGCTCTTCAGTTTTGTAAAGAGACTGGGCCGAATGGGCCCTAACAGCTTCTTATGTGATATCCTTCTTTATCTTTTATTTTATGTTGATGGGCCTCACTTGATGGGCCTGTTATTTGTTCTTATTTTATTTCCTTTATGTAACTGCCAAGCTGGCCGCCCACTTAAGGGTATACTTGTCATCATCAATTTGTTTTAGAATTTAATAAAATTAGGGTTAGAGGAGGAGGAAGACTAATTCGACTTCTTCTTCTCTTACCTCTTCTCTTCTACATACACAGCTCTTGCACTTCCATTCAGATCTGATTTGTACTGTTAATCACTGATCTTAAACCTAATATTAGAGGACT